TGTTTACCGCTCTCGAATGTCACATGTTTTACCGTAGTCATTCGAGATGACTCATGAAGTAGTTAATTTTTAGCGAATAAAAAACAAACAATGAGTCAGAATCCGATTGATCTGATCATCTGACGCATCAATCTAGACTACAAAAAAGTGACGTTTCGATTTGTCATCGTTTTGTACTGTTTTGTTAGTGCAAATGATGGCTTTTTTTGGAATGTGGGTGAGGTTCTGGTTAGGAAATTAGAGTTTTAAACTGTATTTTGGTTTGATCAGAAAGTTTGTAGTTTGGTTATAGTAAGTGTAGTGTAGGGAGGGGTGGGAGAAGGTAGGTAGCTAAAGGGTGAGGGAGGGGGTGTTAAATCCTACGCATGTTATTATAAAGAAAAGGGAAGACAAAAGCAGAACAAAAATAAAGCAATGTAACGAAAAAGTGCAAATAGAGCAAAGTTAGGACAAGAGATGGGCAAGGGTAGAACAAGGGTAGAGAAAAGGTAAGGCAAGAGTAGGGGAATGATAAGACAAGGGTAGAGCAAGAGTAATGCAAGGTAGTGCAAGAATAAAGCAAAAATAGGGCGAAGGTAGGACAAAGGTAGCGCAAAGTTAGGGCAAGAGCAGGTCAACATTAGAGCAAAGAAAAGTAAATTGTACAATAAAAGTGCATGAATAGAGCAAGATTAGGGCAAGAGTAGGGCAAGGACAAAGCAAAGGTAAGGCAGAGAAAAGAAGGGCAAAAATGGGGCAAGAATAGGGCAAGGGTAGGGCTAAAGCAGTGCAGAGGTAGGACAAGGGCAGTTCAAAGAAAGTACATTGATAGAGCAAGGTGAGAAGGGTTGTTGCTCCCTGTCAAACTCTAGAGTCGTTTAAAAAACGTTTTATAAGTTAAATCTTAAAAAAATCAAAAAGTGTTAACTATAACAATACTTTTTCTGTAACAAGAGTTACATAAGTTATATAAAAACTTATGACCTAAAAAAATATTTTAAAACTTTGTCATAACAACCATGTTTGGCAAATTTATTCTTGTTTTGACTAATTATTCCCTTTTAAAGGTCAAAAAGCCAACAAGGATTGCACTTTCATACATTTTCTATTTGCACTTTTACTGAATTTAAAATAAGTAAAATTTAAATTTAAAAAAATTTTAAATTTTAAAATTTTAATTTTTTTTCAAAATTTTTTTTGCAAATAATTTTGTTTGTCTTCAAAACGTTCCTTGTTTCAAAGATCTTTTGTCGCACTTTTACTCTCCAGTTAAAACAAAAGTGTCATTTGTAATCGGATCCCAAGCACTTTAAGCCAACTTTCCCCCCAACGAAACGTCGAGCATTGGCTCGCGGCCAACAAACTCAAAAATCATAATTCCCAACGCCGTTTTGACGTCAAACGGCGGGACAGGTGGCAAATTATGCTAGCTGATGAAATATGGCTGAAACGTTTAATAAATGTTTTTCCGACATTTCCGAAAAATGTTGCATCTGATTGAAGGGCGGGGGTTTGTGACAAGTTTAAAGTTACAAGAAAGGGCGAGTGAATCGCGAAAATCGTTGGCTAGCTCAAAGGGGTGGTTTTAGCTAGTAAAAAGGCTAGCCTTGGCAGTGTAAACCTTATAGTTAGAAGTAAGGTAGTGTTAAAATCAAGCTCATTATTAGGATTAAAGTAGGATACAAAGAAAGCTATAATATATCAAAAATAGGGTATGGTCAGATCAAGGATAAGTCCAGAGTAAAGCGTGGGTAGTGATACATAGTTAGGCTGTAACAGCGCTTGGCTGGGGCAAACGGACGTGTAGGGTAAGAAAATGTTCAGATAGGCTAGACTAGAATAAAATAGGATAGAATAAGGTAAGGTAGAACAGACTATGGTAAGGATGAACAAAGTATGGTCAGTTAGATTAAGAAAGGGTAGGGTAGGTTAAATTTCAAAAAACTTAAAATTGAAATAAAATTGTTTTAACAATGTCAGGCGGATAAAAAATTGTTTTTGACATTTCAAAATCTACAAAAAACAGCTTTGGCATGTGTAAAATTTCAAAAATTTCGAAATGATGACATTTGAGTCATGAAAACACGTGAAACTATAGTTGAAATTTGTAAATATTTATGACATGTCAGCTTAGTTTCACAATGTTTCAAGATTTGGCTTTTTTGTGTTTTTTACTTATGTTCATTTTCATTTTGAAATTTTTAAAAATTTTGATATATTTAGATGACAATTGTTGTTTTCTCTACAAAATCTTTATTTTTAGTTAACTTTTTGCGACAAAAGTTACGTAAAATCCATTTTTTTGAATTAACTGTCATTTTTAGAGTAGTGACGTTGTGAAACAAATATTTTTAACTAAATTTCAAATTTTAGTTTTTTTGCTTTAAGCTTCTTTTAAATAGGTCATTAAAGTTTTTGTCATAAGATTTTAAGTCTAAAAATAAAAAAGAAAAACTTGTCGCACACGTGATTCCAACAGACCCATACGTCTTATATTATTATTTGTTTTTTATCTGACAAGTCACATGGAACAAAACGAAAAAAGTATACTAACAGACTTTGAAAGTAGTTAAAAAAAGGTTTCTCTACCCTACCCTACCCTACCCTACCTTACCCTACCTTACCCTACCTTACCCTACCTTACCTTATTTACCCTACCCTACCTTACTGTACCCCATTTTTCCCTGCTCAGCCTAGCATAGCCTTGTATTGCCCTAGTCTTATCGTTTTCTTGTCTTGGCCTTATTAGAGCACTACCATACTTTTTCTGCCAAGCTTTCTACCTTGCTCTACCCTACATTTAACAACCATACAAAATCATGACTAAGATTTAATTATAAATTAATTTTCATTTTACAGTATTTACTATTATATTATTTCATAAATTTTAAATTTTTTAATTTAAAACTCCAAAAACAAATCCGATTCAAAATTCTCGAAATGTCATTTATTTCCATGTAAAATATTCGAAATGAGGATATATATATAATATTATAATTGGATGAAACATTGCATTAAATAATATCACTTTGCTTTCAATTATGTACACAATACACTTAAGACTGTACAGTAGTTTTTCATTTTTTCAGTGAAAAACGGAACAAAATTACATTATTAGAAGCTCTTTTTGATTGAGGGGGTTTACTGAGGTTGTAGTGGTTGATATTCTGGTTTTGGGTTGATTTTAGTCATAAAATTTCAAAAAGTTTTCAAAAAATTAAAAAAATTCTTTTTTTAAATTTCAAAGCCAAACCCAAAAACCCTCCCCACCACAACCCCACAAAACCACGTGGGATACGAAAGAATATTCATTTAGAGGATAAACATCACCATGATTCTGTTTTGAGTTGGATTTCTAGTTTGTGTTTGAAAAGACTTGATGGTTACCATAGCTTTGGATACAAGGGGGGAGGAATATTCTGTGAGAGCGCTCGAATTTTGAGGTTTTACAATAACATGGTTTTGCAGAAAAAAAGTACCTGATAAAGAGTGGGGGAAAGGTCAAAAAGAAGAGTCGAAAGACCAGTCGGTCGGGTTTTACAATAAGGTTTGGGGGTGTTGGGGGCTTGGGCTTGGAAATATTGGTTTGGGCTTGAAGTTTAAAAAAGAAAAAGTTATGATTTTAGGCTTAGAAGCCTAGTTTTAACTTCTTGAAAAAGAAAAACGCTAATTTTTGGCCAAAAAACGGCCATCTTCAGGTACAAAACGGCCCTTTCCGGTCAAAAACTGCCACTTTAAACCCAAAAAAATCAATTTCCAGCCCAAAATCAACCCTCTCAAGCCCAAACCCCCAACACCCCTACTCATACAATTCAGTACGAAACAAAAATATATACACAAGTCAATGAATCTTGACTCAAAAACAAAAATAAAAATCGGATCAAGGCACTTTTAGGGGTTTCTCTCACATAAAATTGCAAAAAATGGAAATAAACGAGAAAAAAAGGGGGAGTAAACGTCTGATTATGTACAATATAAATACAATAATAAATATTCTGCAGAGTGCTGACGTGTCCTATATACATGTTTGATTTTGGTGAGTTGAGCAAAAATCAGTTAAAAATTTGAAAAAATTTTTAATTTGAAAAATTGAAAAAATTTTGAAATTTAAAAAAATTTGAATTCATCTCTTTTGTATGTACAAAAATTTTTTTTACAATGAAGCTCAGGGTATTGAAACAGGGACAAAAAGTTTGAAATTTGATAAAAAATTTTAAAAAAATTTTTAGAAAATTTTTTAAATTTAAAAAAAATTAAAAATAAAATTTTAAAATTTACAGAAATTTAAATAATTACTAGGCAAAAACTCTGATTACCATTCTGTATTTTGTAGCGGAATGCAAAAACATTGAGTGGTCGATTCGGCGGTCAATTCCACCGCCGAATCGGGTTGGGTATTGAGCAAAGCGTATCGAAAATTAGGAGCTGTGTTTTGTAGTGTAGCCGAAGAGTAAAAGTCTGTAAGTACGAGGATATGTTACAATAGAAAATAGATTTTAGAGGAAAAAGTTTGAAAAAATTGGAAATTTAGGTAACAAATGGTCGTTTTTGAGGTAAGAACGCCATTTTTAGATACAAAACGACAAAAGTTAGATAAATAATCAAAATGACAAATGTATCAACATAGTTTACGGTAAAAATCATAGAGAAAATTTGGGGTGAGGAAGATGAATTCGCAAAAATTATTGGTAAGGCGATTATTTCTCTGCAGAAGTTGATGGGTATGTTGGTATGTACAATATTTACATGGTGTGAAGAGCTGTGGAGCTGACGATGAGGTTGAGTGTAGATAATGAGCTCCAGAATACTGTTGATGTGATGGTTTGTAGAAGTTACTGTAGATTCAGAAGTTACGTCAATTTGACTTTTAGAATTATAAGTTGGCTTGATATTGATAGTCACCTTTAAAGTCACGGTAACTCTGTAGCCAGTATAGTTATTGTAACTCTGACGCTATTCTAAGATTCTATAGTCTTTTGGCTATCGTATGATATGCTATAGTAATCTCTATCGTAGTCAACTCAGTAGCTGCCAAGCATGAAAGCTCCACCAGGCGGCGACGATGAAACGCCTACAACGTAGCCCGAACTCCCTGACGAAAATCCAGAATCCACGGCACTCTTGCGTTCATTCGACAAAGCGTGGGGTTTCACGATGGGCATGGCTTTGCTCACGGTACGCTCGAACGCCGTGAACTGCTGTTCCGGCTCCTGTTGTTGTTGTTGAAGAGGTCCGGTCGAGCGATGATGCACCGGTCGGCGCCCCATACCAAGCATGCTGATACCAAGTTTAGATCCGCTTTGGACTTGAAAGGAGCCTAAGGGGTTGCTGGAGATTTTGCGGACGACCGGCTCGCCATTTGAGTCTGTTGCACTGACTTGGCGGGCTTCTGAAATGAGATATGAGTTAAAATGGATAACATAACATGTTTTACACAAACATTACTTTGTAGCTATCGTAAAAAGTTTTAAAATTCAAAATACCGTACCATAAAAGCTCATGCTCTTGTGATGTGAATCATGATCACTCTCATCGTCCCATTCACCATACGACGACGAGCCAGGGTGCTCCAAGGCTATCGTCGGTGCTCCTTCGTACAACACAGCTGAAGGCAGGTTGTGCTCGCTACTCCGTTGTGGGTACACAGCATAAGGGAAGTATCGGTTCGGCTTTGGCATCACATATTCACTGTTGTTGTTGCTCTCATCGTTCCTGTTGATGCAAGTGTTCAACCAGATTGGCATAGCGTTATTGTTGGCTACGACGTGACGATGCGGCGTTAGCTGACGCCACCGTTGCACCGGCACTTCTTGGTCGTTCTCGCCAAAAACCGGCTCGTAGCTCTTACAAACACCGACTTCGGGCTGTTCTTCCGGAGCACGAATCTCTTCCTCTTCATCGTCGATAGAAGTCGTATTCAGACTGGCAATCTTCATGATCTCAATGTCTTGCTCGTCCGGATTCACTGCTTCTACACCCTGAATCGGCCGCTTCTTCATCGTCAGATCGGCGCGGCCCAACTGTTTGATTTCACCCTGCATCCAGGGGTGCATCATAATGTCCTCGAGTGTGTACCGTTCTCTTGGGTCCACTGACAAACAGTTTCTGATCAAGTCCTGGCAGTCCAGGCTGATTCGTCGCTTCCATTTCAAGACTCCGGCTAAAATTTCGTGATCATGATGGAATGGAATGTCGCCGGCGACCATGTCGTAGAGTAAGATGCCTAACGACCACACACAAGCGGCCAGACCATCGTATCGTTGTTTGCTGATCCATTCGGGCGGGCTGTAGACGCGGGTTCCTGAAGAGGTTGTGGTTAATATTAATGTTTTTTGAATGTTTTTTTAAATTTAAAATTTTTTAAAATGTAAATTCGTCATTTTTAAGGTCATGTTAGAGTCCAAAATGAGTTTTTTCAAAAAATATGTCATGATTACTCGTTTTTTGAAAAAAATGTCACGATGACGCATTTTTTGGAAAATATGTCATAGTGACATATTTTATTGAAAAACGCTATCAAACGAATTTTAAGCCCATTTTAACTATTTTTAAACCCTTAATTTCCAGATATAGCACAAAAAATGTCTCTGATAAGCTATTTGTTGTTCTTTCTTTGCCAACTCCATGAATATTGAATATGGTCTGGCGAACTTGTTTTGCAGGATATTTTTGTTTTCTGCTGGTTCGAATTTAATTTCTCCTTTGGCTATTTTCCCGAACATAATTGCTAACCAGCTAATCGGGGCAAAACAAAAACGTCAAACCGTATTTCGCCTAATTCCGGCCGAATTTTGAGGCTATTGAGGTGGTTTTTGGTGCAAACAAAAATTTTTAAATTTCAAAAAAAAATTTTTTTAAATTTTATGTTTTGTCATGTGTTGTTAGTGCCTTTTTCGTCATTATTTTTTATATTTCTTTTGTTTTTTAAATTTTTTTAAACTTTATATTATTCATGGTACTCTACTTGCCCTAGAGCCTGATATGACTAGTCTCACTATGTAAATCTTTTGATTTCTAAAATTTTAGAATTGTCTTGAAATTCTGTACCCACCACCATCACCCAAACCCAGCAAATTCCTCGAACCGTCATCGATTAGTTGTTGTTTTGGTTGTTTCCATTTTTAGGGTTTTGTTTTTTGCTCGCAAAGAAGCGGGCGCTCGTCCAAAGTTCGGGCTGGGATGACACGCCCCGGCACCCGGGGGTACGCAAAACGCAAAAAAAAGCGAAGAAAAAAGAAGCCGGGAACGGCGGCCCGTTCGTGGAAAACCCGACGACCAGCTGTCCCTGCGGCACACACAAATGGCGCCTTGCCAACATTGTTTACGGGGTCGGCAAGAGAGGGGGATGGGTATGGGTGAAGGGGAATGGGTATGGGCGAAGGGGAATGGGTATGGGCGAAGGGGAATGGGTATGGGCGAGCGATTTTGTGGTTGTTTTTTGGAATTTAAAGAAACAAATTCTTTGGTCTCGAGAATTTGTTTTGGCATGAGCTTCTTTGTATGACGAAAAGGGGGTTGTGCCAATGAATATTATCCTACTAGGAGTGTATTGAAGACAATCTACTAGTAGTGTACTGAAGATTCCATGCTAATCTTTAATAAAAAGAACCTTTATAAGCTTCTAATAAAGAAATCATTCATTAAGAACTCATCAAAGCACCTGAAGTCACAGCTACTACTAAAGCACTAGAACACTTACAGTATGACTAAACTAAATTTTTAAAATTTTAAGTTAAATCTACGCAATTTTAAGTCAAATATAAGCATAAAAATGCAAAAAGCCATAAAATTTAGCCATGAAATAGCAAAAATGCCGTAAAAAATGTTGTAGTATCCAACAGTGCGTTCGCAAGGTTAAGAACAATGCCAAACAAGGCGAAAGAGATAGTCAGCTATTGTATGCGCAAATCGCTATAGACAAAAAGAGGCTAAGAAGCTGTATAACATAGAGGGTTTAGGGTTCTATGGTCGCTTGAAGGCTTTAAAAAGTGCTGTAGGCTACAGTGGGCTACCCACTGTAATTTACCCTACCCTATTTTAAATTGCCTTTCCCTACCTTACTCTGCCATATTTTACCCTACCCGACCCTACTTTGCACGACCCTCCCACTACTACCAAGATTTCCTTCCCCGCACCCGACCTCAGTATCACTATGTGAAATTGCGTGCGCATTCCACAACACGATACGACGAATGTTTTGCAACAGAGTTAAAGCGCGCGTATCGGCTTATCCACTGATGCGATCGAGGTCGCGGCGCCAACTCGTACCCCGGCATCGCTCACAAACTGTGTCTTGGCGTTCGTCCAAAAAGACCTTCGTCTTTGGTCAAGCAGTTTAAGGTTAAGAGCAATGTAAAGGTTGGGAGCGACGTTAAGGTTGGGGGCAACTTATAGGTTGAGAGCAACGTAAAGGTTCAGAGCGAACAGCTTAGGATGGTCTTATAAAAAAGCCTCCTACCCTTTACTAAAGAGTAGCTTGAGCCTTTTAGAAATTAAGCCCAACCAAAAAAATCGCTAAAACCCACCCAATCAATGAAGCTTAATCAAATCTCTCAAATCAAATCGCTAGCGAGCGAGCAAATTCCATCAAAGAAAAAAGACCGTTAAACGCAATTTAGCCGCCCGGAAAATGGGTCGCAATAAAACGAGCCCACACATCACGTTAACGGCTAATCCAACCCGTGCTACTTCAGATTTCACAACAACTCGAAGCGAGTTTTTGGCTTCTGAAGCTTGTGAAATCCACAAAAAGTGCAATTTTTTGACTTGGTATGATTCAGAAGGCTTTTAGTGATCTGTAGCTAAAATTTGAGGCTATGTTGCTTAATGGAAATTGTCTAAAAGTTGCTTTGAAGTATACCTACATACAAAAATTTGACATTTTTTACCAATTTTTTACAAAAAAGTTCATTTTTAAAGCTTTCAATCTATCATAATATACGCTAAAGTCACAATAGTGCACCTTAAGCTCGCTATAATGCGCCCTAAGGTCACAAAATTGTACAAGTCAACTTTTGTAATGTACGTAGAATGCCCTATTCCAAGTCTATGCCCTTTCCTTTCCATAACTACGCGCTTTTTCAATATTATCAAGCCGTAGTGCATTAAACCCCTGTTACACTGTTTGATTTTTGCTTAAGCGGCTTTGCTTATCAGTTCCGTCATCAGAAACATGTGATTTGTCACACAATTCAGCTAATGTATCGTGTCGAAATACGCGTAAATTTTGGTTGCTGATCGTATACGTTATATGACAAATGTGATGATGATACACGTTAAGCATGATGATCAATTTCGAAAACGTTTTGAAGCTTGGATTCTAGATGCGTTTTTGATTCAGAATAGCTTGCTTTGAAGAATCTAAGGCACTAGAGGGTACTAAAAGAAATGGCAAAGCTTAGTTTCAGAGCTATGAAACCAAGCCTAAGGCTTTAAGCCCAAAAACCCCAAAAAACCCTTAGGCATCCGCTCATCAAAGATTAAAATACAAAAGAAAAGTTCAAAATCGGGAGATCTTAATGACGTCAAGCATTCCTACAAGGATTCAGAAGCCGATATTTGCTGGAATTCGTGACGTTCCGAGTTCAGCGCGATCAACTGCTCGGTTAACAAGTGCGCATCAAAACTTTTCATTTTTCGACGAAAAGCCGATTCCAAGAACATCACACCTACTCGATTGTTGTTTCGCTCGAGATTATGAGTTTGAAACGAAAATTTGGAAATGCGGTTTTTGTTTCAAAAGTGTGTCATTTTAGGTGTTAAAGGTATAGGTAATGATGTAGAAGGAGTAGGGTAATGTAGGTAAGTTACAGGCTTTGAGATAGAGTAATACCCAAAAACATGAACTCAAGATACTGTACGGTACTGTACTCCAAAACAACCCCATATCAATGCCCCTAACCTACCTTACTCTTTCCTACAAACCCTCTACCCTACCCTACTTCGAACTCTAGCCTACTTTGCCCTACCGTACCCAAAACTAAAGCCGCTAGTGTCAAAAAGTGACATTTTTTGTTTCAAATGACACATTCCCTGCCTACTGTACTCTTATTCCCACACTATGATGTCCCAAGAGCAACTGCACTCAAAAGCATATGTCAGTGAACATAAGGAAGTTGTCATAGACAGCTCGTTAAAGACATCATCTTCATGTTGTCAAAAAGATATATTCGGCTTTGCGGCTTGTGATTTTTCCGAACAAATGCACTTTTTTGCTAATTTTAGGTAAAAAAAACGATTTTTTGGAGGCATTTTTTTGGCTAAAAATTAATTTTTTAGGTAACATTCTACCCTAAAATGTCATTTTTGACCCCAAAAAATCAATTTCAAACCCAAATTGTAAGTTTAAAAAAACCATTTTCAAAATTTCGAATTTCGTTCCCAGAAGCACATGATAATAGGAAATATATTATACTTGAACAGGTGACTTTGGCGAGTTCGCGGAATTATCGAAAAAGGTGAAAAAAGTCGTGTTTAAACAGCCGCACCACATGCTTGACTAATAGCTGTTTTCGCCGGAAGGCATTATACCCCCATTCGTATGTGTACGATTTTTTTCGAGGTGGCATGGTATTCGAGGGGAGATTTTTTAATACAAAAAAAAATTTTTTATATTTTTTTTTCTAATTTTTGGTAATGAAAAAAGAAGCAATAACGCTTGTCTTTAGATACTATAGAGTCTCTAGAAACCACAGAAACACTATAACTTCATCCTGACAGACCACAAAAGAAATATACCAAAAATCACAGCAAGTACCGGTAAATTACCACTAATATAAACCAAAGCACCAGCAAAATCACAATCACCTAAACCTAAAGAAACTTCTCAACAAGATTCATACACACACTGTGTATAAAACCGGAAAAGCGGGTATCAATAAACGTTGACAGCCCGACACTATATTAATGACATCCGATTTTCGCCGTATTAATCATCGTACGGTACGGAGAGAAGGTAATGACATTAGTCATGTTAAGACAACTGTCGTATGTGTGTTTAATGGTTTTTTACTTGTCATCAAAATTGTTGAAAATTGAAATTTTGCTTGAATTTCATTAAAATTTTTCAATTACAAAAAAAAATTTTTGTTATCAAAAATTTTTTTTTCTCAAAAAAAATTTTAAATGATTAAGATGACATTTTATAACTACTATCAACTTTTTTATTCTAAATTAAGGCCAAAAAAGCCCAAAAAAGATTGGCAATCATCCATTTTCACTAAAATTTTCCCATTTTTTGCCCATTTTTAGCCACTTTTCGCCCATATTACACTGTTTTTTCATTAAAAAACGTTTCAAGCACGTTTACAAAGCCACTAATGACCGGGGCATAGCAACTTTAAAACGCGAAACATTTTGTGATTTGAATACGCTTAATTGCAGTCAATTTGGACCACACAAACTGTAGACATTTTGAGTCGAAAAGCGCGCGTTTTTCGAGTAAAATGCACTAATTATGCCAAAAAACGTCAAGTTTTGGCTGGGATTTAGAGGAAAGTTGGGTAAACGTGAGTTTTCTATATTCTTTAAAGTTTGTACAACCTTTTTAAGCCGCAAAATTTTAAAATCGTAGGCAGAAAAGTACATTTTTTCAAGTTCAAAGTTAACCTACCTTCAAAATCCACGAATTCGCTGTCCTTCATAAAAGCTCCAGATCCAAAGTCAATCAGTTTTATCGTGCCATTGTTGATGTCCAGGATGATGTTCTCGTCCTTGATGTCACGATGCACCACATTGTTGTTGGCACAAGCAATCGACGTCTCCACCACTTGTTTAAACAAGCTTCTGGCAATAACCTCATCCAAAGCTCCGCGGTCCGAAATAAAGTCGAACAGATCACAGAAGGGTGTTGGTCGTTCCATCACAATAAAAAATCCATCCTGACGTTCGTACCATTCGATCGTGCGGATCACACCGGTGCAGCCACGGCACGTCTCCAACAGAGCGATTTCGGTTGGGATTCGTCGGCCGTTCCATGTGATCCAGTCGGTGATGTTGCGCTTGGCCACGTATTTGATGGCCACACTGTAGTTGTCTTCGATTCTGTAGCCCGCGTACACGACGCCAAAGCCACCACGGCCAATCTCTGGCCCTAATTTGTACATTTGTTTGAAAAGTTGGGGATCGTGTTCTGAAAAAGTGGTGGTTAAGATAAAAAAAAGATGGTTTTTGGTACCAAAACTGAATGGTACCATTAAGAAAAAGTGTCTAGTGTAATCTTTAAACCCTAGTTCTCAAACACAAGAAAAGAAAAGTATCCGAAAATGTCTATAAAACATTAAAAAAACAATGTCATACCTCAAAATATCCTAAAATCATCCCCAATTCCCAGACATTTTTAAACCCTCACCCCATCCTAGCCACCCAGCCCTTCATAAATTGTTAAAAATAAGCTCAATTGACAAACACAAAACCGCTGCACTAAAAAGTAGTCATTTATATCGCGGACCCCAACCAACAATAACAACCTCCAGACTTGGATTTGCATACCAATTCACGTTATATTGATCGTCAGCACTAGCGCATTTGAATACGTTTTCAAAGAGATTAACACTCGCTGGACTAAAAAACAAGCTTCTATTTGGGGTAGGCTTGAATAACAATTTTTTATGGCGTTACCGAGGGCAGACACGTTTATATTGGGGTTGGTCAACGAAAATCACAAAAATTTGAGGTTTGTCTGACTTTAATGAGTTATATCTTTTTGGTCGGTTAGTCAAATTCTCTGATATTTTCAGTAATAACAAGCCATACCCTTGTGTTTTAATTAACATATTCACTTTTTTTTAAAATCTCTCCAAATTTTAAAAATTTCAAAAAACCCCCTTAAACACCCCCAAATCCCCCCGATCTCACCCACAAAATCCGTTCTAAGAACACGAAAAGAGCATGACAAGAACCGTAGGTTAGATCGAACGTTTCCTATGTTAATCACAACCCCAACAATATTTTTTTAATCCCGTCAGACAGAGACAGTAAACGCCTACATGAACAACATCGCAACCCGCAACGGAGGTATAATGAGCCGATTTTGTTGTAATAAACAACTCCTCTCCGCGTGGTCGAAAACGTTGCGTGTGGGGCGGTTATTGATGTGCCTGTGGGATTGGGCGAGCTGATTTTAGAAATTTTAAACTCCGACTTTTAAAGGTTTTAAATTTTTGGCCGTTTTTCGTTGAAAAATCGGGAGAAAATAGGCTAAAATGGGCGAAAATTGATGGGTTACCTATTTTAAAAGCAGTTTTGTGCCAAAAGATAATAAACCGATGCAACAAAACTTATTATAATCTTAATTAAAAGTCCCTAAAGCGTATTTTAAAACCCTCGGCCGTTCCGAAAAGTCCAATTTTCGCTATAAATCAAGTCATTTTTTCCAAAAACTCGCCTTTTTTTCAAAAATGTTGGCTTTTAAAAGCCAACCGGCAATATATTATTCCTACCTACTCGAAGCCATCTGGCTTCGACGCCGCCTAAAAGCTTGTTTATGAACAGCACGTGAGAATAATTGTCTTAATCAAAACAAGATATTCGTCTCGACTAATAAAATTATGTGAGAATGAATAATAAAACCGAGGATATATTTGAGTATGATATTGTTTTTCGCCGAAAATTGTTTGAGGTCGCATGTGGGAGGGGTTGATGCCCTTAAGGTTAAGAAAATGCAAAAAAAAATTTGATCCACCCTCAAAATTTACCACTGCCAAAATTTTTAAAAATAACAAGTCTTTCAACAAAATACCTAAAAATCCACCCATTTCAAAAAATTCTCAAAAATCCACCCCTGCCCAATAAATCTCAAAAAATCAACTCCCTCTCCCCAAAAGTCTCAAAAAATCGACCTACCGTCCCGATCGGGGCTGTTGTCCGTTTCAATCGTCATCCTGCGAAACTGTCTCCGTATGAGCGGAAGTACACCGCCTAAGGGCGCGTTGATCAGTGAGAGCCAAATCTTGCAGAAAACCTCCTTGAACTGGCACACAAAACTCGTCGAAAGCAGGGTGAAGCCAATGCACACGCGTCCCTGTTTCAAGCTTCGTGCAAATCGCAATGAAATTCGAAAAGTTTCTGTAACCTACACCATTAGCTTTGTTGTTGAATTAAATTTTGTTGCACACGCGGAATGGTATGTTTTATAATCGCAACGGTAAACATAATATATTGTATTGGGAGTACAAAACGATCAGGCCACGTCGCGTGAGGTATTGCGTTCGTCACGCGAAAAAACAAGGAGAAACAGCGCGAAAAATCGGGAAAAATGTTACAAATTGAAAATTTTGAAAAAAGTGGAAATACAATCAAATGAAATTTAGTTATAACAAACGACATGCCATTAGCTATAAAATAAGCCTATAATTTCAAAAAAACACCAACCCATTTCCAAGCTACACCTCTTCAAAGTCACCCCACCCAGAGCCTCTCAAAATCCCAAAAAGCCAAAAAAATCACCAAAAAACTGATTATAAGCCCATTCCCAAAACCATAACCCCAATATATAGCTTTGATATGAACAAACCAAGTTCTCACAATTAAAAAATAGCAAAAAATTTAAATTGACACGTTACAATTTTCATAAAAAATGCTAATGTAAGTGCAAGAAATCACAAAAACGCTGCAAAATACATTGATTATTACATTTTTGAATCATAAAATGTAATAATCAATGTCTTTGCTGCAATTATTCGTTTGCAAACAGTGTTGCAAGAAGGTTAATTGTATTTAAAATTGATTTTTTGGTTTTAAGAGTTGGTTTAGGCATGGAGGTGTTGTAAAATACAAAAATTACAGTTTTGAGGGTAAAAAAATTATAAAAAATTGATTTTAAAAACCAAAAAATTTTAAAAAATTGACTTTAAAAGCTAAAAAAATTAATTTTAAAAGCAAAAAAAAAATAATTTTGTCAAAAAAAATTTTTTTAATTTAAAAAAAAATTTATTTTTATTATTTTTTAATTTAATAACCAGATTTAAAATTCCATTGTTGGCTAACATCACCAGTATATTAACCTCCAGCTTTTCAAAAAAACAAAAAAATCCCAAAATTCTTAAAAATCAAGAAAAAATCCCCGAAAAACGCAAAAACTTTAATAAGCCCAATATAAGGGAAAAGCGAGACGCGGTGGGGAGAAATCACATTTTTGCGACGCGACAACGCTGGAATGCGGGAGAGAGGCGGGGGGCAACCCGAACCCGAATGGGGAGGGGGTCAGCGAGATGGGGCGGAGATGGGAATGCGCGAACACACCCGCCCACAAAACAAAAATCACATCCTCGCGAGTCGACGGAATTTGCGGCTGACCCCACCCGCCGATGGACCAGGTTGTTATGACGCGCGAAAGTGCGGTTGGTATGCTTATTCGAGGGGGCGAATGGGGTCGATTATGAATTTTGGCGGTAGGGTCAACTTTTGAAATTTGGTGGTAAGGCCGAGTTTTGATGGTAGGGTCATTTTTTAATTTTGAAGTTTTTATGAGGGCAAAACAAGTTTTTTCGTTTTTCCCTATACAAACCAATGTAAATCAACGACAAGACTTTTTTGACCACAAAAAACTGAATTATTGTAAATCTAGTATTAACTTAATAATAATCGAACTTTTCAAAACCTCAAAAAAAGTCATGTCGTTTTTTCCCATATAACTCAATATAACCTAAACCAACGACAAGACTTTTTTCGACCGCCTAATATTCAAATTTTTCAAAATCTAGCACTACCTTTTAAATTTCTACGTTATGTTTATACTAATTTAAATTTCGAAATACTATAAAACCTTCGAAAACCTCAAATTAATCGAAAAACGAATGTCACAAGCCCAAAAAACAGCTGTAATCGGCGGGTTTTAAAAACAACCACTGATTTAAACTTAACATGTAAACATTCCTAAATTCACCAAACTACAACTTCAAAATAGAATGACAAAACAGATTGTTTGAGTGTGCAAAATTGGGTTTAAAAGTTGCTTCTTTATACCAAAACTTCTGTATAACGACCGAAGCCGCTTTATAACCAACAAAGTTTAGATTCCCATGCCATTTGTTCTACAGAAGCTTCACTGTACCCAAAACCTCAAAACACCCCTCCAACTCATTACCCATTAACTAATACCCAATGAGCCAAATTTCGAAAACCGGCTGCCCCAAAGCGCCCGCAACCCCCCAGAAATCCCCCCCCAATTGTCCTCAGCTTCTGACCCTAATGGTCGGTTGAACCTCAGCGAAATGAGTCAGTCAGTTTTTGCGGAAACACAAAATACGAACACTCACCCCCACCCTCCAAAAAACACTACCAATGAAAAGTGCAAATGGAAAAACGACCAAAGACGCTCCGAAATTTTCGGTTTTTTTTCCGCCCTCGTGCCCAGAAATCTCCCAGACAGGGGAAAAAAACAGACGGACGGAGGAACTGAATCAGCATAAAATAAGGACCGCGAGCAAAAAAACGAAGACGAAGGTGGGGCGAGGTTGTGGGGCGAGTTTGGGCAAAAGCTAGTGAGGTTGAAGAGGGAGGAAGTGGAGGGCATGGCTAGCAACCGTTTCGAAGGCGTGCTAGTGGGAAAAGGGCTAGCAATACAAGGGCGTTATACAGGTTATTAAGGTGGTACAAATAAAGGCTTTACAACGCTTGTTAACATAGTAAATGTAAAGTTATAAAAAATTTGGTTATGGAAAGATAAGATTAGTTATGACAATATAAGGCTAGTCATGGCTATACAAGTCTAGTGCTGACAATATAAGACTAGTGGTAACAATATAAGATTAGCTATGACACTATAAAACTAGTGATGACAATATAAGACCAGCTATGACAAACCCTCGCTAGTGATGAAATTTTGTAGCAAATGACAAAAATACGATGACAAATAACTATTGTAGGGCTTTCGTAATATCATAGATACTGTTTGTGAAAAAATGCACTATCAAAAGTTTTTAAATTTTGAAAATTTTAAAAAATTCAAAAATGCAAAAAAATTTAGCCTAAGGCATAAAAATGCCTCTAAATGCTCTAAAATGATGCCCAGCTTCCTAAGACAAAAATCAATTGCTAGCTAAAAAATTATATATGCATGTCCATATTACCTAAAACTAAGCCCAAACCCATAAAATTATAACCCCAATCGCCCTTATAAACCCCTCCAGTTAGTACTGAATTTTTTCTGTAAAGAAAACGTATTTCGCTTCGAAGCGGCCGCAAGAAAAACGCATTACTAGTAAGCAGTTGGACTTGAAAAGACGGCGTTTTACTAGTTCCTTTCTGGCTAGAGGGCGTGTCCGGCGTTTGGCCCGACGCCAGCTGTTGCGGCCCCCACGACATTCAGTTCGCCCAACTTTTTTACTAGCCATTTTATTGCTAATCAACTTTGACTAGCTGGAATTGTTGGCGGGAGGCGGTGACTCGCTATTTTTAGGCTTTAGGGGGCGGGGATTTGAAGGGCGGGTATTTTAAAAACGTGTATTTAGGGGGCAAAAGTCTTGTCGTCAATTTGCATTGATTTTTAAGTGGAACCACGACAAGACTTGTTGAAACCGTACAACCGCCCTCCCCAAACTTAAAACCCCCAGTAATACAACCCCTTAAGTTAAAACCCCCCCCCCTTCTACTAATATAGCCCCTAAAGCTTAAACCCCCCCCCCCCCCCCACTAATATAGCTATTTATTGCCACTTTTAGACGAAAGTCACAAGATTCGGCTCCAGACGGGTTCGTAATCCCTAATCCTAGAACCAAGGTATTAGCCAAGTTAATAACATCGTCTTTGTCCCATCAAAATTAGCAAAAAACTTCTAGATTAAAAACAATGACACTTTAAGACGACGTTCTGCCCGATGTTTGGTTTTCGTAGCTTCGGAAGTTTTATGTACATACTAGATTTGCATAGTATAAGAATGGCAAAAACATGCATTATATGAGCAGGGCACAAAGTGGCTAAGAATGAGTAGAGCACAAAGTAGATGGGAGTTATTGTTGTAGGTTTATACTATAATAGTTAGGGACAAACCATAAATTTCAAAATTTAGGGCAAAAATTAGTCATCATTTTCGAAATTTTATATAGCAATAGTCCTAACGGTCCAAAAAGTCATCATTTTTCGAAATTTCATATCCTACCAAACCTAAAAATCCCAAAATTACTATCTTAAAGCCTTTTATAGTCATCTTATCACTAATAATTCATTGAGCTCTAGTCAAAGTTCTAGTCACCATTCACAAAAACTTCAAATCCTGACCCATTGCCAACTTATGTCACCCATAACTATGTTTCTCATATGTTACCAAATATACAACAAATACTAGAAAGATATCCGGAACAACTAAAAATGCATGTTTCAATCCGTACGACCTCAAAAACCAGTGGTAAAATTGAAAAAAATGCCCAAAAACGCACTTTTCTGGCCGTTTACCTTATACTTTTGGCACGTTTGCCAGCTAAAAACGTTATTTATAAGCTTAGGAAATTAGTTTTAATAAGGCTGGGTATTAATTTTAATTAAAAATAACTCAAAGTTTAAGTTTAAATTATGAAAAATTTTGAAAAAAAACTGAACATGGTCCCCCCTGTTGATTTAAAAAAATAAAAAAAATTTTTCCGCCTTTGTAACCCAAAATCGTTTTTCTAACCCTGCCTAGCTCATGCCTTATACTGTTTAACTTATGCTCTGTACTACAACTATCTAACACTATATATACCAGAGCTATTGATAGTAAAAGATCAGTAAGATCTCACAAAACATCACCCCCAACCCTAAAAAGTCAGTAATATCTCACGAAATACCGGTCCAAAACCATCCAGATCATTCCCAATTTGGCCGCCCTGAAGCTCAGATGTCCACGTTGCACCCACAAAAACAATACCTCGTGAAGAAGCCGGCGAATGTTGAGCTACGGTGTGT